CCCCCCCCCCTGGCCTTTAATATTTTGGGTCTGTGTTTGCATGTGTGCCTTCAGGCTGGAGACAGCAGTTTGAAGTGTAAATACCAGAGGATCAGGACTGGTCACTGTTTCGACTCCACTGATGTCTGATCACTCAATTACAGGGTAGAGAGAGGAGGGATGATTGAGGATCCAAGTCTGTGTGGTAATGCCTGCAGTCATTGTGGGATAGTTGGGTTCAAACTGCTCTCTTTACCTCGTGGGAACCAATTACTTTGTTTCACTCAGAAGAGGCTAGAAGAAATTCATTTTTTATTCTCTGCACCCGGGACGGATACACTCCTATTACTGCTTGTATGGCATTGTTTGAATCTCCAAAATGTCTCCACGATTAGTACTTGAGCCACTTTCTTTCTCCCCGCTTTCTCCACACACTCTTAATCCATGTTCTGCAAGATAAGTGTTTTATTTCCAGCAGGAAATCTCTCTAAGCATCATGGTGGTTCCTGTAAATTGAAAGTGAGCTAGGAATGGTATTCCCAGCATGCAAGTGTGTGTGCTTGCTTGTTTGCAAACACCTATGTTTTGGGTTGAACAAGGACAACGGGTAGAAGTGGGGGGATGTCCTGGGGGGGCGTTTGTTCCTTCATTGCAATGTATAATCTATTTTTTTGGCAATTCTTTTTACATTTAAGATTTTCATAGGATGTGTGTGCTCAGTGATGAAGGCCTTGATCCAGGTTGCCACTTAGATGACCCTCTCCCCCCTCCTCACCCTTTACCCTCCCCTGTCTCACACGCAGGCAGAGTTATCTCTCGTTTACATGCTGCAGGACAATGATTTCACCACTCAAACTCAAACAGGTTTTGGGTGGTGGAGGGGTCGTATTTGATTGTAACCCGACACACCTCTCCGCGTCCCTTTTCTTTTTCATTCCCTCTCACTCGGGCGACACAGTACTCCCCTTTGTCTCACTCACCGAGGAATCAGGGGAGAGCATCGCAGCTCGCCGGCGGCTCACGAGTGTGACATTACATGCGTCATGATGTGCGATGACCGGCTGCAGGAATGTTAAGTGGTAGTGGGGCGGGGCCCGAGGGTGTATATATACTGTGTCAAGCCTGAGTGAATGACATGTGTGACAGTGAAGGAGAAGGAGACAGTTGGAGCGTCCCTCCACTGGGTGTCTGTTGCGGCAGTGTTCACACAACTGTGGTTCATTTTTGATTTGTTTTAGGGTGTCTAAAGGAACATTAACCGAAGGCGATGCAGAGTAACAACAGCAAAAGACGTCATCATTATGTACTACGCATCTTATTTTGGTTTCTCTTTTGGCTTTGGCTCTTCTTTGGTGCCAAGATATGTCAACAGTCACATGTGAATGACATAACTTTCACTTTTTGTCACAGCAACACGGACACATTTAGATACAAGCATTCAAATACCAGTCACATGTAGGTTGCATGCCATGAGGTTAGATTATTTACTGATATACTGTATCTACTTGTGTGGTGCACATGGGAACCAAAGTCATGTGATGCCATTCAACTGTGTCAACAACATGTGTAGTCTCAGTTTCTGAATCAGTTTTAGGATCTCGATGGTTAGGATTCGTCCTTTAGCTGCATTATTGACCTTTTTAGAAATCTTTACCCTCAGGTGTCCAATCTGTTCTCCAGTCTAGACTGAAAGACAGAGGAAGCTAAATGTTCATTATCCGGGTCTCTATAATGACGAACAACCTGCCTGAGGAGTCCCCTTAACTCAGTGCAGTCTGGTTTTAAAAAAAACAAAACAGATTAGCAACATCAAAGAGCACCATAGTAGAAAGGAATTGGTAACTGTTCTTCTGAGTGGATGGCACAAAGGTGTACTGAAATATTTAATTTGCGTTGAAAGCAAAACTTATATCTTGATTTTTAAACGAATATTCTAAAACAACAAAATGTAGACTGGGACTTCTCAGCAGTTGGCCAATAAATAGTTCCCCTTATAACCTAGAATACATTTGTGATTTGCATATACAACGTTAGCTTAGCCTGATCGATCCGATCTCCATTCAGAAAACACGCATTTTAAAAAGTTTTTCGCCTGCCGTCTTGTCTGCAGACCGGTATCAGTATGTTGTTACTTCGGCATCATTTTGAAACGTGTATTACAATTAAATCACGGTAAAATATGTTCATTTTGTTGTAAGGCAAGGCAAGGCAAGGCAAGGCAAGGCAAGGCAAGGCAAGGCAAGGCAAGGCAAGGCAAGGCAAGGCAAGGCAAGGCAAGGGATTTTATATTTATATAGCACCTTTCAACACAAGGCAATTCAAGGTGCTTTACAAAAATGAAAGACATTCACACAAAGGCATTTAAAAACAGTCATTAAAAAGAAAAGATAATAAAAAAAACATGAAATGAAAAAATACATGAATAAAAAGTACATCAATAAAAAGTACATCAATAAAAAGTTACAGTGCAGTTTAAGATATGAATAGTTCACACAGAAGTTCCACTTTACTGATGAACACAACGGCTCAGTTTCAATTAAAAGCAGCGACAAAAAGATAAGTCTTCAGCCTGGATTTAAAAAAGTTGTAGTTGAAGCCCCCTTGCCAGCGATTCTCTCTGACCATTCAACAGTCGAGAGTGTTTACGTCACTAGTTTAGCATATTCAGCCCGGTTGTTGGCCCGGTAAGAACCTCGATTTTGGAGGGCCATAAAAAAGGTGAAAAAGTAGCCCTGAGCCGGAACTACCCCTAGTGGAAAAGCAAAAAAAAAGCTTAAACTTTGCTGCAGTGGAAAAGCGCCATTATTCTAAGCTAAGCTAAGCTAACTGTCTGCTGCCTGAAGCCTTAATGTTTATGGTGCAAATATACGACTGGTATCACCTAACCCTAATCATCACGTAACACTAACTGCGTGAGCCTTTTTCAAAAAACGTACCTCCAGACTTTCATTTTTGAAGACATTTACCCAGTTTTATTGATTCAATTCTTAAATCAAATAGTGACTAAGAATAGAGGACCAAGGATAGGAGCAATGACAAATCAAAACTTCCTGTTCATTACAAATGTACAATCGTTCAAAAGTTCAAATAGTTGGATGCTCAGTTTGCACTCTGCAACCTCTGCTTTAACCCTAACTGTGTCATTATTTCCGTTATGCACTGTAACTTCATATCTTAGCCATTTCTAAGGCAAACCCCTTTGTTATAGTCCTGTTTGTAATGCATTGGGATACCATCCTCTCAGCTATTAAGACTTGGCACTGACTGAATGCAGGTATTAGGATGAAATGTCAAACGGCTTAAATGGATTGAGTTTACTGGCACAAATATCTGTTCAACGTTTGAGTCCTGTTGCTTAATCGAGGGCTAAACTAAAAAAGGTAATATAAATATAAAGAGAAAATAGCTAAATCAAACTAGTCACGTTTTATGAGCAAGCTTTTATAAGCAGTTAAAAACAAATGTTCCATCAACATGTTTCCTGAAATCTCACACCACCTCATAATTGCCCATGCTTCATTGGGGTTTTTACTAGTCTTCTACAAGTGTTGTTTTAAGACTCCGCAGAAAGACTTCATGTTCACCGAGGTGTCGCTTTTTAGTCATTTCCCCCTCAGCGACAGCCAGGGAAGAAGCTGGCGAAAGGTGTAATCCTTACAGTTAATTGAGTGCGTGTGGGGAACGTGTCGATGCACGCTGTTGTCTCGTTGTGTCCTGCTGCTGCCTGTCAAACAGCATTCAACTTTTCGGAAAATCTTTCTATCTTTAAGTCGCTATCATGCGTAGGTTAAAGCTGGTGTTGATGCATCTATAGTTCATTCAGTTTCTTTCCACAGCATGATAGATGGCAGTGCTAGCAGTCTAATTTTAAAGCCTTTGATTATACACAGCCTTGTATTCCTACCAAGCTGCTCTCCGGGTAAATTGCTGTGTATACTCCAGATTTTTATGGTGATGGTAATTTAGTGTACGGTTTATATTTAGCTACACTAGCAGTTGTGACTCTAATGTCCACCACTTTGTTGCAGACTGAAATATCCCAATCATTATTGGATGGATTGCTAGTAATTACATCTAGACCATCTTTAGCTTTTGTATTGTATGTATAGCATGCATTCGTTAGCATTTAGCCTTATGTTTAAAAAGCTTTTTATTTCCAGAATGGGTGCTACTTTTTGAGTTGAGATCTTAATCATAAAATTTGTACCAAACATATATTAAGGACGGTATACACTTGTGTGAGGCTTTTGATCCCTAGGAGGATACATGTATTCCCTATTTCTCGATTCCTGGGCGTGAATCGAGGGCACTTCCGCACCTGTATGTTTACTGTCATGAGAGAATTTGAACCCTGACTTACAGGAACATTTTGGCTTCTTTTTCCCCCAATGTGTCAGCCACAACTGCTGTCATCATGGGTGTCCCGTTACAACCTCATGACAGCTTCTGTTCTGCTCTGACAGCTCCTTTCTCTTGTCAGCTCAAAGGAAACAAAATTATGAGCGCACACTACGAACTTGCATTATGCATTCACACGCATAACAGCGCATTGAGCATCATAGGCAAATCGTACACCACGCCCTGGGTCATACTTGGCACCTACAGGCGGAGCGGCTTAGGCCTGTGT